GTGAGCGTGAGAAATCTGTCAGTGAAAATACATTTAAATTCATTCTCATATCACAGTTCACAATTTTTACCATCCCAACAGTGGATTCCATAGGTAAACATGATGTAACTCAAGTTTTAAACCTTATTAATTGGGCCTACTGTGGTATGGAAACTATACTTACTTACCTGAAACATCAATACTTGAATCCAGCAGACTCATTTGCTAAGACAACTTCATGCCTTTATCATTCACTAAAGCAAATATATTTACATGTATCTGAATTATTTACTCCAAACTCTTCATTATCATATCCTCAGATGAATATCTGGTACGTATGCTGAAGATGGAAAATAAATCACTTTCTTCTTTCATTTTTAAATTTTTTTTCTTTTTTGTCTGTACAACTTTCAGGATCTTAGCTTTCCAACCAGGGACCAAACTCCAGCCCCTGCAGTTCACTGCACCAAGTTCAAACCACTGGACAGCCAGGGATTCCCTACCTTTGTGTTTTTAAAACAGCTTTCTGGCAATGATTTTTTAAAAAATAAAAAACTCTCTTTGCAATATTTTAAATGGCCTTTCTTTTAAAACCTCAAGCTGTGAAAAACTGTTGTGTTAAGTCTTCTGCCTGCTATTTTCCGAGTAGCTGTAATCCATCATTTTCAAGCTAAGTCTAAACAGTTTGTTTCATAATTGACATTTTCCAGAAAAACTCACTCTAAAAACATTTTGTTTATTTCAATAATACCTGACTTTGAGTTTAAGATGATCAGCAAGGATGCTGTACTTTGAAGTGTTCTTTTGCTAGATGTACCACAACAGCTTAACATTGCTCCAAAGGAATGCAGTTAACAAATATACCAAGTTGGTGCAACAATTATACCAATATGCAGTATGCAGATTTGTGTGTGTGCTTGGTCACGTCTGACTCTTTGAGACCTCAATAGACTCTAGCTCACCAGGCTTCTTTGTCTGTGGAATTTTCCAGGCAAGAATATTGGAGTGGGTTGCCATCTCAGGGGATCTTCCACCCAAGGATCGAACTCTTGGCAGATTCTTCAGTCACCTGGATAGCCCAGTAAGCAGTAAACCAGGAGGTTTACTACCAGTTCCTACCAGTAACTGCTAAGTACTAATCTACTATACAGTTTCCCATGAGAGGAAAGAAAGGAATGGAAAAATAGGACATATTTCTTCTAAAAATGAGATGAAAATGTTCATTGTGATTTCTTGATAACAGATGTGCTCTGGCCTTTGCCTCATTATCTAACTGTATTATTAATAAATACTACTTTTATACCTAAAACTTTAAATAGGACAGTACAAATGCCATGAGGGTAATGTCTATATACTACTTATTTTCTAATCCCTACTGTGAGTTGTTAGGCACATTAATTGCCAAATGAACTCATCATCAAATTAACTATAAGCTTTTGTGATCTTTATCAGTCAATATGTTAGGTTTTTTGAAGGGTTGCTCCTTTTTTTGTGGGGTTTTTTTGGAAACAGACACCTGAACAAATTCTACCTGTGGCAAAACAAAATGTTAGGTGTTATTGTCGTTGTTTAGTCACTAAGTCATGTCCAATTCTTTGTGACTCCATGGACTGTAACCCGCTAGGCTCCTCTGTCCATAGGATTTCCCAGGCAAGAATACTGGAGTGGGCTGACATTTCCTTCTCCTGTATCAAGGATCTTGCCAATCCAAGGATCAAACCAGTGTCTCCTGCGCTGGCAGGATTCTTTACTGCTCAGCCACCAGGGAAGCCGGACAGGTGTTATATCTACTAAAATAACTTGCCAGGATTACTATTTACAACTTAGTTATCACATATTCACAGAAGAAACCCACATTCCAGGAATATCAGGGATCCTCCTTATTATGTTTCTCTGGGCTGTGTACTGTGCTTAGTCACTCAGTCAGGTCTGACTCTTTGGACCCTATAGACTATAGGACCTCAGGCTCTTCTGTCCATGGGGATTCTCCAGGCAAGAATAATGAAGTGAGTTGCCATGCTCTCCTCCAGGGATCTTCCCAACCCAAGGACTGAACCCAGGTCTCCCTCATTGCAGGCAGATTCTTTGCCATCTGAGCCACAAGGGAAGCCCAAGAATACTAGAGTGGGGAGCCTATCCCTTCTCCAGGGAATCTTCCCGACCCAGGAATTGAACCAGGGTCTCGTGCATTGCAGATGGATTCTTTACCAGCTGAGCTATCAGGGAAACCCAATGTCTCTCTAACCCCTGTCTAAGCTTAAGTGCACCCCACGAATATTTATTGCTCTCAATATTATAAAAACTATCACTCGCTGGAAGTAAACAAACATTGTTTTCTGCTTAAAATATTCTTTTCCCAATCATAAGGGTAAACTGAACATATAATTTTACAAAGGCACTTTTTAAAGAAAAAGAATACAGTGATTGTGTGGGAATGGGGAAAATAAATAAGCTTATGTCAGCAACTGATTTTATAGCACCAACTCCCTAAAACAGAGCTGAAACTGCAGCTTTAATAAAAGGTTCCTACAATTCTTTTGACCAAGATATATTCATTAATTGCCTTCAAGTGGGCACCCAATGGGAAGAGCTGACTCAGAAAAAAAACCTGATGCTGGGAAAAATTGAAGGTAATAGGAGAAGGGGGCAGCAGAGGAGGACACGGTTAGATAGATAGCATCACCAACTCAATGGACATGAATCGGAGCAAACTCTGGGAGTTAGCAGAGGACAGAGGAACCTCACATGCTGCAGTCCATCGGGTCACAGAGAGTTGGACATGACAGAGAAACTGAACAAGTGCCCCAAAGTGTTCTGATTTGAGGAATGCCAGACTCTAATACTTTGGCCACCTGATGCGAAGAACTGACTCATTGGAAAAGACCCAGATGCCGGGAAAGACTGAAGGCAGAAGGAGGAGGGGATGACAGAGGATGAGATGGTTGGATGGCATCACCGACTCGATGGACGTGAGTTTGAGCAAGTTCCAGCAGTTGGTGATGGACAGGGAGGCCTGGTGTACTGCAGTCCATGGGGTCACAAAGAGTCGGACATGACTGAGTGACTGATCTGAACTGAACTGAGACCACTTGTTTGGGTACAGCTGTCTCAAGCAACAAAACTGATATGATGAAGAGTTCTCATCCAGGGTATATAACATAAGTTTCTCAGATCTTCAGAAGGCTAACACTGCCAAGTCATATAATCAGTGTGACACTGCACTTTCTTGTAGCTACTACAGATCTTTTTTTTTTCTCCCTAGTGACAATCTTTTAAGAAAAGAATAAAGGGGGTTTACTAGGTAGGAAAAAAAAAAAGAGATTCTTGAACAATGTTTCCCAGACATTTATTCCTTTTTCCCTTTTATTTTTCCTCTGTACTTTTGGAAGTAAAGGTTTTATTATGAATGTATTCATTCCTGCAAGTTCTGGGAAGCATAGTACCTGTCCCTGAAATGGACTCATCTTTTGGTGTATTGTGAGCTGACTCCTTGATAAATGACTGCAACAGAGAAATTCCTAAAAGCAAACAGCTTTAGGAAATGTTCTGGTCATTTCTAATGCCTGAACACTTTGTTTTAAGATCTTTGTTTCTACTGATTTTGTTTTGAAAAAGGCTGATGAACTCGGTCTAAAATGTAAAAATAGGGGAAAAAAAATGGAAGGAAGAGAACATGCAAAATAAGTTAATCATTATCATTTTAAGTGCCACCAGTTCTGTTTATAATCATGCACATGTGAATTGCTGAATCTCATTTGATCAACCCAATTAAACATTAAATAATTGCAGCCAATTATGCAAATATCAGCAACAATATTAATTTGTTGATCTTTTTGAGCAGATTAGCCTCACATGTTCCTAATGCTAGACTATCTTACGCCTTAAATGATCAATTAGTGTTACGATAACTAAGTCTTGAAGAATGGATAATTGCCTAGTTATAATGTGTCACTCTTGCTGTATTAATCCACTGCAATTAAACAAACAGTGCACAAGGAAAAAAGACATGCAGATGTTCCTTTTAAATCTATTTAACAAGTTAGTGTCAAGGTCAATTTCCTGTCTTGTTACTTAAATGAGAATGGCAGATTGTGTTCGCTGTTTTAGGAGACTTGGTTCCTTTAAATGTATATCCTTCGTCTTCATGAAGTCTGGTTTTTAAGGGCTTAAAATGCTCTTAAGGTTTGATGAAAGAAATCACACAGACATAATGTCAAGACATATTGTTCTCCAACTTTTACGAGGAACATGTCTAGCCATACTAAATTTAGAGATGCAAAGTATAAAATGTATTTGTGGCAAACAAATGACTTCCATTTCTCATAGGAATGTTGAGTGTAGTTATTATGTGCTACTTGACAGGTTAGAATTACCTTAGGTCATTTCTAGACTACAACATTGAGAGCGAGGTCACAAGGTTTAGCAAAGGCAAATGCATAGCCTCAGAATGCTACTTGGTGAACAACGTGCATGAAGGACAGTTAAAGCATGTCAGACCTGAAAAGAACAGACTCTCCCAAGACTTCAGATTGCCAATTAAGAGCCCCCTAAAAAAGATATTTTTACCATTCCTTTTCATCTTCTACTTTCCTCATTTTCATTTTACCATTCCTATCTAAAAAGACCCTATGGCCAAAAGTCTTGGAAAAGAATCAAAGCCCCATTTGCTATGTGCTGCTAAATGCCTTAAGGAAATTTTTCCAGCACATCAAACTTTTAGAATTTTTTTCCTTGCTCTGAAAAGAGAATGAAATATGATCAGCAAGATGAAAGTTATTAGGACTGAAGGAAACCAAAATAAAATGTCTGAGAGTTGACCTTCCAAGGGTAAATGTTTTCTATCAAGATTTGACTTTCCCCTAGATAAACCAGGATACTATAATTTTAACTCACGGCTCCCGAACAAGGAAAATATCATCTACAATCACTCTCTCTATACCCTAACCATGTGCTTATCTAATCCCCTCAACAGGAAAGAGCACCTATAAAACCAGAGTATAAAATCCACAGTATATTCCTCTCTTTCTACCAAAAAACTAAATATGATTTATTTTGTATTTAACACTTAAACATTTATGTATTTAACATATAACATGTCATTTCCATTTGGCTGGTATGATATCACCATCTTTCTAGAATTATTACTTTAATTCCAAGACAGTCTTCAAATAAATCATTCCTCCAACAAACTACGATCAGAGTATCTCTAATGACTTGGCAGTCCATGGAAGCTAAAGAGACATGAGGTAAATATAGAGAAAGTCAGAACCAATCACAAATTCTAATAAAGAGGTTTCATAATATAGAAACAAAGAAGGTACACTTCTATAGAAGCTAAATGTTCATTCATTCCTTACTATGGGCCAGGCTGGGGGATGCAAAGATCTATAAGGCACAAGACCCTCAGTCCCGTAGTGAAGCCTGCCCAAGAATTACAACACAGTGTGGAGACAGCAGGGGTAGTCTTGTTGATGTACCAGTGGAGCCTGGTGCAGACTGTGATGTCAGGAAGGAGGAGAGATTCTCCCTAAGATGGACTTAGGGGGCCGGGAAAGAAATCCAGTTTCTCTAAGTCTTGATTTATAAACAACAACACACTTTTCTGAGGATGGAGATGTGGCCCGGGCAATGGTACCTATGAAATGTACTCAGATCAGCTTTCAAACACAAAGACACTCACTGGTTGAGAAGCAGGACATAACTTATGCTAAAGAATAAAGAATTTTTTAAAAATCTGAGTGAAGCCCTAAAGGAGGCACTAAGATTATGGAGGAAAATTCTAGACTTACATGGCTTCCATAATCCACTCTCTAGAGAAGGTAAGGAAAGCTTCTAGGGGCAAATTTAGAAACTACCATTGGATGATTGTGATTCATCTTCTCTGGCATGAGGAAACAATCGCCCTGGGAACACAGATAATACAAACAACAAGATGCACAACTAAAATCAGGCAGCCAAAGACATTTCTCATAATCCAAATGCAACAGTCTGTCCCAAGCGCACACAAATGATATCCTGTTCTTTTCCATTCAGGCTACTGTGATTGTCCAGTCGCTCTCCTCTCTTCCATACTACAAGAAAAGCAAGAAAACATGTTTCAGTGGTAAAGCCAAGCACAGAAACAGCTTATAAATAAACTTAATGATATAACCAACGTTGAACAAAAGGTTCACTTCTGTTTTGTACATTCAAAGCAGGTCCATATTGAAAATAAGACTATGTATAAAGAACCAGTCAAATACCTGGGAAGAATCACAGATTTTATAATTATAGTTGAGCTCAAATTTATAGCTAGTATAGGTTCCTTACATATGCCTCTTCACTGCTATCCTGTATTTAGTTTCTCAGATCATGTACCGTTTTCGCTTGAATCGCCTCTTTAGTACTAATATAACTTCAGTTGAAATGAATACAAAACATTAGAATTCCTGAATTGGAAAGAACATTACATATTGTCTAGTCTTCAAGGAATGAGCCAAATAAGTGTGGCTCTGGATTTCACTTCAGAGTAGTTCCACTTCTACTGGTTTCATATACTGGGATTCCAGGAAAGGTCTCTTTTGCAGAAAGTTCTAAGGCTTAAAAAAATCAAGTGTGAAGAGCAATAAACTTTTAAGTCCAGCTTCTCATTTAAGGACACTAAGGCTCTAGCAAACTCTGTTTTTAAAATTTTCTTTTATTGAAGTATAGTTGATTTACAATGTAAAGTTAAGTTCTGCTATATAGTGATTCATACATGCATATGCATACATATATACATATGTGTGCATATATATACTCATATACATGTCTATATATACATATGTGCATATATATACACACATATACATGTCTATATATACATGCTGTTGTTCAGTTGCTAAGTCATGTTCTACTCTTCGCTACCCCCATGGACTGCAACACTCCAGGTTTCCCTGTCCTTCACTATCTCCTGGAGTTTGCTCAAACTCATGTCCATTGACCTGGTGATGCCATCCGACCATCTCATCCTGTCGCCCCTCTTCTCACAGTCTTTTACAGTGAGTTGGTTCTGTGCATCAGGAAGTCCAAGTACTAGAGCTTCAGCTTTAGCCTCAGCCCTTCATATTCATCAGAAGGGCCTATGTATATAGGCTTCCCTGAGAGCTCAGCTGGTAAAGAATCCGCTTGCAATGTAGGAGACCCTGGTTTGATTCCTGGGTCAGGAAGTTCCCCGAGAGAAGGAATAGGCTACCCACTCCAGTATTCTTGGGCTTCCCGGGTGGCTCAGAAGATAAAGTATCTGCCTGCAATGCTGGAGACCTGGGTTCAGTCCTTGGGTTGTGAAGATCCTCTGGAGGACGGCATGGCAACCAGCTCCAGTATTCTTGTCTGGAAAATCCCATGGACAGAGGAGCCTGGCAGGCTATAGTCCATGGATTCGCAAAGAGTTGGACACAACTGAACAACTAAGCATTGCACAGCACATATATATATGTAAATATGTACACATATATGTTTCCATATTCTTTTCAATTATGGTTTATCACAGAATACTGCATACATTTACCTGTCCTATACAATAGGTTCTGTTGTTTATACATTTTCTATATAGTTTACTTCTGCTAATCCCAATGTCCTAATCCATCCCTCCTCCATTCCCATCCCCCTTGGCAACCATAAATCTGGCCTCTTCTAGGAACCTCTTAACTACAGCCCAGTTCTGTATCTGTGCAATGTTATTCCTCCTCCATCACACTGTCTGTGTCCTGGGTGCCTCGTAATGAGCTTTAAAGACTTCAGAAAGCAGAATCTATCAAATTGGTACAAATACTAGAAGCTAAGAATGGGTCCCCCTATAACCTTCTGGTTTACATGAAAAGGGGAATGAAGGAAGCCAATGTCACTAAGTGACTTACTTAATCCACATCAGAAAGTGTTGCCTACAGAGTATGGCTTCCCACTGTTCACACTGTTGATTTCACAATGAACGCCAGACAAAACATTCCCAAATTCTGCCTGATTTATACATAGAGAGAAATACACATTTTATTTTTCGTATTTGAATTTCCGTTAATACATCAGACACTTTAGCCATTAGTAATAATTTGAGTGTCAGCCTACTGATATTTTGTATGCTAAGTGGGTATCCACATTTCCCATTGGGTATGTGTATGCTTGTATACTAAATTGCTTCAGTTGTGTCCAACTCTTTGCGACCCTATGGACTGTAGCCTGCCAGGCTCTTCTGTCCATGGGATTCTCCAGGCAAGAATTCTGGAGTGGGTTGCCATTTCCTTCTCCAGGGGATCTTCCGGAACCAGGAATCAAACCCGCATCTCTTGCGTCTCCTATACTGGCAGCTGGGTTCTTTACCACTAGTGCCATCTGGGAAGCCCTATTGACATTTTAGCAGATTTACAAACTTATGATTCATGACTATAATTTCATCATGAATCTCACCAGTTAAAATGAATTTGCTTTCAGTTACCCATTTTAGTTTTATCAAGATCAGTTTTGAATACAGTGACAGTCATAGGTTGTGTAATTCTAGGAACCTACAGAATATGTATTAAGGTTTTTCTCTCTTGTCCTGCACCTCATGCTTTCATGTAAAATCATAGTATCTTGAGATGTTATTCAAGGGATGTGATAATACAGCTAATTCATAATATCTAGACTTAGGTGATTATCACCTTTCATTTCAATAATGAATAATGTACTTTAATTTTCCAAGGTGAAATAATTCAAAGTAGAGATGACAGATTTTAGCAGGAATAGAAATACACTTCCTTTAAAAGGTATCCAGAGAAGACGGGGAAAGAAAACACTTGTCTGCATGGACCAGACTGTCCTTATATTGCTGTCAGTGCTTTTAACGGGCTTCCCTGGTGGCACAGTGGTAAAAGAATCTGCCTGCCAATGCAGGAGAGGAGGATTTGATCCATGGGTCGAGAATATCCCCTGGAGGAGGAAACGGCAACTCCAACATTCTTGCCTGGGAAATCCCATGGAGAGGAGCCTGGCAGGCTACAGTCCATAAGGTTGCAAAGAGTCGGACATGACTTAGTGACTAAACAACAAAAATGCATCCTTAACACTACCATAGTGACAGCCTTCAATGTTTGCAATGCAGTAAATCAAATCCAGCCTGTGGGGTGGTACTTTGAGACCATGCGGAAGGCTCAGCGTGATGTGCAGAATTTTTCAACTTTTCATCAATTCCAATTAGAACAGTGAACTAAAACATGACTAATAATGACAAGCTTATTACTTGCATTCAATGCACATTTGGCAAATAATTTTACAAGGCCTTTGCTAAAACGTGCCTTTTATATTTGGCAGAAAATTCTAAAACATAAAAAGGCCAAGCTGCAAGTTAGGCACTTAACTCTCAACAAGGCCAATAAAAATAGAACCAGTGCTGCCCACCAGTTAACACTTCATCATCCTGGTTGTAGGTCATATTCAATGGCCAAGCAAAGCTGTGATCCGAAAACAATGGGTGAAGCGTGAATGAGGGAACACGGAGGGGCTGGGAAGCTGAGCAAGGGACTGCACCATCAAAGCAATCTAGAATGTTCACCAAGTCTGCACACACACACAGAATAGCTCAGGACTTCTCCAGGGAAAGAACGGTTGTTTATTCTCACAAAGCTGCAGTCACAGGTGGGAAAAGAGATTTTTAAAATTCTATCTGGTGATGGGCTATCAATACGGATCACGCTTTGATCCACTCAGCTTCCCTTATTCTAAACTACTGAAGATGTCCACCTCTGGGTCTTGACAATCACTCCTCCCACTTTCTGAAATGGCAATAGCAGCACGGCTAGTTACTCAAATATACTACCCCAATATTTACAACTTGGACTGCAGCTTTTATCTGATCCTGACAGCAGTTTCGATGTATATCTCACTTTGAAAAAATCTAAACCAGATTCTCTTGAGTTTTTTTTTTTCTTTTCGTAAAATAATTTTACATTTTTAATCTCTTCTCAGAATGTGTTAATACACAAGAGCAACACGTTTCTGTTCTTCAGTACTTGCTTGGTGTATCACTCACCCATTCATTCCTTTTTCAACATTACTGAGGTTCTTGCCTGGTGGTCCAGTGGTTAAGAATCTGCCTTCCAACAGAGGGGACCTGGGTCCAATCCCTGATCATGGATTTAAGATCCCACAAGTCATGGGGCAACTAAACTCACACGACACAACTAGAGAAGGCCACGTGTTGCACTTACTGAGGCCGTGTGCCACAAGAGGAGCCTGCATGTACCACAACCGGAGGAAGCCCCCATGGCACAATGAAGCACCATCACAGCCAAAAATGAATTAATTAAAAAAATTTAATTAATGAATTAATTTTTTAAATGGAAGAATATAGTACAAAGAGAAAATATTAGCAGGAGTCAGGGTAAAAAACTTTTAAAAAAAAGAAAGAAACATTACTAAGTATGTACTATGGCACAGACGCTGTAAGAATATTGGAATTACAAAAAGAGAATAAAATAACACCCACACTCAAACAACCATGGAACAAAGGTAAGTGTGTGACTAATCAGAACAGACTTTAAAAGTCCTACGTGATCATCCAGAGGCTATGGAAAATGGGGAAGAAGCAGCAGTTAAGTGGGTGAATACATGTTTGTACTGAGGAAAGGGGATATTATTCCAGAGATTTAAAAGATTCTTCAAGGAGATGCATCTTGAAGAAACAACCAACATCTTATCAAACAGGCAAACTGTAGAAGATACAGGAAGGCAGGAAGGACGCAAATAGAGCAGAGAGTATTGGAGGACAGAGAAGATCCCCAGATGGCAGAAGCTGATATGATGGTAACAGGAACAGCAAAGAGCAATGGGAGAACGAGGGATATGGACAGCAAGGTGATGTTCTCCAAGTTCAAGTCTGGTTAAGTATGAACACAGAAGTGCTTTTTTTTTTTAACATTATTAAAAAAAAGAAAAAGAAGAGGAAGGGACTTCCCCCTTGGTCCTATGGTTAACAATCTACACAATGGTTCAATCCTTGGTCAGGGAACTAAGATCCTACATGCCAAGGAGCAACTAAGCCCACAGGCTAGAACTAGACAGTCCATGTGCATTGAAAGAT